ACAAAATTATTACCCCCTTTAAGCTAATTTTTTTTCGATAGTCTTCAGAACAAACCATCGTTATACAATAACTTGCCTAATTACCCTAACCTGCCTAGTTAACCTAATTAACCTAGTTAAGCCTTTAAATGTCACTTTAAGCTGTATAGAAAAATATCTAGTCAAATATTACTTACTGTCATCACGGCAAAGATAAAATAAATCAGGTTTTACAGATGAGTTATTAAAACTATTATGTTTAGAAATGTGTTGCAACATCAGCTCTCCGTTAAACAGAAAAAGTGAAAAAATAAACAGGGGGGCGAATAATTCAGGGGGGCTAATAATTCTGACTGTAACTGTAACACAACTGCAATACAAATAAACGTCATTGCAAAGAAACGAATTTAGCTTTTGTTTTTATTTCAAAAAGGGCTGCTTAGAAATGAACAATGGACTCATCAATATAAATATAAAATGTTCCTAATAACAAAAACAAATCAATAATATAGACTTCTTTGTGCCAGAAGAAAGAAAAACGTTCAGCATCTTTACAGTTTTTCAAGTAGTGAACTCTTCAAACACCCTCCCCAAAAGGAAGAATATTTATGACAATCAAATAAATATGGAGATGAGATGTTAACAAATAGATTACAGCATTCATCAGTAAATTGCCTTCTAAAAGAATACGGGTTAATACATTTTAAACAAAAAATAATATTGATTTTTAACAACGATTTATAATTAAAGCACAGCCTGACCTCATGTGGGAGAGACGATGTTTTTGGTTTCTTTGGTGCTCACAGTTCCTGAAACTTCACGATTGCAGGTAAACCACTGAAGTCGACTGTTTTGATCAGAGCCGGCCCAAGGCATAAGCGAACTAAGCGGTTGCTTAGGGCCCCGTGGCCACCAGGGGACCCCAAGAGTGCTTGAAATTATTGTGTGACTTTAGTTTTAAGCAATATCCCAAATGGCACACTATACACTATGCACTCATGCACTATGTACTCATGCACTTACACACTCAACAGAATAGTATACGTATGTAGTGTCATGCCAAATGGCACACTAATGTTTTTTTACCAAGCGGAGATTCAAACCGTTTCCCTGATGACGTTTGACGGTCGCCAAATCAGTGAAATAAACGACCAAATTATCAAATAATACCTGCCGTGAGTATAACCGCATTCACCATCGGGAGGCGCTATAATCACTCTCGTAGAAGAATTTTGCTTTCACCATCCAAAATAAATAAAGTTATTCAACATGTGCGTCCGATAGCTCCGCCCCTTCCGCTACGTAAGCAAATCTGTGGTCGTCGAGTGCGTGAAGTGTCCATCATTACACACTTCATTTTAGCGGCTGAATGAGTGCATCATCCGGGTAATTAAAGTGCACTTATTATTTTTAGAGTTTTCAGTGTGAACGCCATACAAAATGGCGTAGAATAGTGCATAAGTATGCGATTCGGGACGCAGCTTTAGTTTGTTGAGTTGTGGATTAGTGGTGGGACAAAATATATGCCCATTTATAGTGTTATTTCTCACCGCGATACATACTCAGGCGCCAAGATATTTACCTAAATTTACAAAAGATCTGATTTAATTAATCAGTTTTCCACACTGACTTCAGCAGATAACCGCTTTAGCCACAGTACACCCAGCCGCCACCAGGTGGCACTTCCCGTAATGGCGAATCATTAGACCTACACCAGCGTCATGTAAATCACTGAGATGAGCCATTGCAATGGTGAAATTCTCAGGCATACATACACTTTCTTCTGTCCAAGCTGGGCCAACGTATTTGTGTGTTTCAGACATCCAGCTCCCCCGAATTTGCCACTAGTTTCTTTCTAACAGACGCGCTTTCACTTCGCTATATCGCTCGCGCGTGCCCGCGGCCAGTGCAACTTCTTATGTGCTCAAACTTTTTAACTCCGCCAAAATATATAAAGATATCAATAGGACATGAACATTTAATTAAAAGGGCCCTGCGTTTATTTGACTCTTACAGACCTTGTCAAAGTATTGTAGATGGTATTTTGGCAAAAAAAATATCAGGAGAATTAAAAAACTTAGTAGCCTAAATAACTAATGTTCTCCACTGCTGAAAACATACGTGCTTATGGAGTCTGTGCTCACCTCTCAGAGCATTCTGATCTGTTAAAAAAATAGTGGGAATACATATATATATATATATATATATATATATATATATATATATATATATATATATATATATATATATTTTTTTTTTTTTTTTTTTTTTTTTTTTTAAATAAACCAGGGCTAAGCATAAAATGTTTCCATGTTTACATAAAATTAGTTGTAATAAGTGTTTTAACTTTACAGAAAATTAGAATGCAATAAATTACTATTTTGGCAGTTTTTTTCTTAAAGGGATATTCCACTAAATTGAGATTTTGCTGCTGTGATAGAGATGTGCTCTCTTCAGTCATAAACTGCTCTCTGCACATCAGCATTTTTAAGCTTGTTTGACAGATGTGCACTTGTTTTACATTGTTGCAATTCTATAAATGCGTGTTTATAAAAGACATTCATCATACATTTTTGATGCATTTTCCCCCTTCAATTACCAAAATTGTGATATATTGTGGCTGGTTTTCTTGTGACCTGTCAATATATCGCAGAATCATTGATATCGTGATTGAAGCAGCAGTGCCCGGAACAGCAGCAAAATGCTTTTTTAATGAACTTGGTGATAAAAAATAAGCTTCTGATTTATACAATTGACAGTTGGTAAATACACTGCAAAAATGATTTTCTTTCTTATAGTTTTTGTGTGATATTTAGTCCAAATATTGAAAAATTCTTAAACCAATAAACATTTTCTAGAAAGATTTTTAGACAAAATTGTGTGAATTTTTCATTAAAAAAGCTCAATAATCTGCCAATTAGGGTAAATAAAAAAAAAAGATTGTTTTAGGTTTTAAATAAGATTATTTTACTTATCTCATTGGCAGATTAATTTGTTTTACGAAAAAAAAAGTTCACTTAATTTAGAATTATTTCTGAAAACTGATTTTTTGTACATATTTTTTTTTGTACGTATTTACTAATTTGATCTATATGCGAGTATGTCTAGAAAATGCTTCCTGATTTAGTTTAATTTTAATTTAAATAGATGTTTTTAAGTTATTTGAACTACAAAATACAATATTATTTTTTTTCAGTATTAACATTTATATCCAATTTAAAAAAATGTATCTTTATTGTCACTATGTTAGACTGTTTGGTAGCGTCTTGTGCCTGAATAATAAAAAAAATCTGTATGTTATTGGCTACTTCCAGCTGCTTTTGTTTCTGTCAGCCCATATTAATGTTTTGTGTCTAATTATTTAGATTTGGGCAAGTAGTCATATAAAAAGTTGGATCAATAGGAAGTTGTTTTAGCAGAATAATATTTATAATTGTCTTAAAACATATATTTTATGATGTAAGCAACACAGCTACAGCCAATAAAATTGATAATGTGTGTTTTAAATTTATAGTGTGCGAATTATCAAGGATTGACGATAATTTGTCATATTGTTTGCACCAAAGGGGCCCCAAATAAAATCCTGCTTAGGGCCCCCTGAAGGCTTGGGCCGGCTCTGGTTTTTAGGTTGTGTTAGAATATGACCAAAATCCAACGTCGAGACAACATCTTAAACCAACGTCATATTGACGTCAAATACTGACATTTATTCGTCAGGTATGGCGACCAAAATTCATTGTTTGATTGACGTCATAGTGGTATTGTCCACACAATGTCAAGCTGTAACTTCATTAGACGTTGATATTTGGTTGTTTTTAGGTTATGTTAAAAAGTGACCATAATCCAACGTCAAACCAACATCTTAAACCAACGTCATATTGACGTCAAATACTGACATTTATTCATCAGGTATGGCAACTAAAATCCAACGTCTGATAGACGTCATAGTGGTAATGTCCACCAAACATCAAGCTGTAATATCAATAAACGTTAATATTTGGTTGACTTTAGGTTTGGACGTTGGGCATTGATGTCAGCCTGACGTTGGATTCTGACGTCCACCCGATTTTCAATTACAAACAAAATGCAACATCCACACGACGTTAGGGTACAACATCAATCTGACGTCATGTTGATGTCTTGTGCCTGCTAGGATGTTTACTGTTTTAAAATATTTTAAATGTTTCTCAAAATAAATTATATTATGTACAATGGGGAAAAAAGTTGTTTTTTAACCAGACATTTAAAAAGAATATATTTTCGAGCAGTAATCCCAATTCCTTGAAACCGTGATACCTTTATCCTAGGTTATTATACCATCAGAATATTATACTGACCCTTTTCTAGATCCAGCTGTGGTTACTCACATCAATAAAGCATCATTTTTGTGACACTGTACAACATTAATTCATATTTTTTTTAATTACTGTGAGGGGTACGTTCAGGGATAGAGTGCAGGGGTAGGCGTTAATAAAATACAATTTAAAGGTAATTTAATAAGTAATAATAATATAACTACCGTTATGGTTGGGTTTAGGGTAGGGGTAGGCGTTAACAAAATATAAAAAATAAGTCATTTAATAAATATTATCACAACTTTTATGGACAGAATTTCAAGGCGCAGCCTTGGGCTGGAGGAGGTTCGGTTTGGGGACCACAGGATTTCATCTCTGTTATTCGCAGACAATGTTGTTCTGTTGACCTCATCAAACACGGCCGAGTGTTATGCGGCTGGGATGAGAATCAGCACCTCCAAGTCTGAGGCCATGGTGCTCCACCTGAAAAAGGGGGTTTGCCATCTCCAGGTTGGAGGAAAGTCCTTACCCCAGGTGGAGGAGCGTGAGATTGACAGGTGGATCACTGCAGTGGCAGCAGTAATGCAGTCAATGTACCGGTCTGTTGTGGTAAAGAAGGAACTGGGCCGAAAGGCAAAGCTCTCGATTTATCTGTCAATCTACGTTCCTACTCTCACCTAGGGTCATGAGCTTTGGGTTATTACCGAAAGAACAAGATCTCTGATACAAGCAGCCGAAATGAGTTTCCTTCGCAGGGTGGCAGGGCGCTCCCTTATGGATAGGGTGAGGAGCTCTGTCACCCAGGTGGAGCTCGGATTAGAGCCGCTGCTCCTCTACAGCGACAGAAGCTGAGGTGGCTCGGCATCTGTTTCGAATGCCTCCTGAACACCTACCTAGGGAGGTGTTGCAGGCATGTCCCACCGGGAGGAGGCCTCGAGGAAGACCCATGACACACTGGAGGGACTATGTCTCTCGACTGGACAAGGAACACCTCGGGATCTGGGGAGAGGGAAGTTGGGGTTCTCTCCTAAGATTGCTGCCCCCGCGACCCGGCCCCGGAAAAGCGGCAAAAAATAAATGAATGAAAGAATAAAAATATTTCTTGTTAACTTCCAGCACACTGCTGGAATCAGCGCATCAGGATCAAGGACCAAATCTATTAGCTTTATAAAGCTTTCCTATGAAACTCTTTCAATAATAGCCTTGTGCTCCTTTTCTTGTCTTTCCTGCAAGAATGGCAGGACTAAAGTCTTTCTTGAGCATGAGTCCTCATGTGGCCGTTAAGGTTTCCTTTATGTGTGAAGCACTTTCCACACTGACCGCATATGAACGGCCTTTCCCCCGTGTGAATTCTCATGTGAGTTACAAGACTTTCTTTCCGCGTGAAGTTCTTGGCACACAGGTTGCAGGTGTACGGACATTCACCGGAGTGACTCCTCATGTGGGTGTTCAGGGTTCCCTTCTGCGCAAAACGCTTTCCGCATTGACTACATATGAAGGGCTTCTCTCCGGTGTGGATCCGCACATGAGCCTCAAGATGCACCTTTTGTGCGAAACTCTTCCTACACAGTTTACAAGCGTAAGGGCTTTCCCCAGTGTGATTCCTCATGTGGCAATTCAGATCTTTCTTCTGGATGAAGCTCCTTCCGCACTGGGGGCAGCTGTAAGGCCTTTCTCCAGTGTGACCTTTCATGTGAATCTTGACGTTTCCTTTTCGATTGAAGCTCTTTCCGCACTGAGGGCAGGAGTAAGGCTTCTCTCCGGAGTGAATTCTCATGTGACTTTTAAGGCTTCCCTTTTCATTAAATCTCTTCTCGCACTGTTGGCAAGCAAACGGCAGCTCTCCGGTGTGTGTTCTCATGTGGACTTTGAGGTTTACCTGTTGATAGAAACTCTTTCCGCAGTCAGAGCAGGTGTACGGCTTTTCCCCATTGTGGATTCTCATGTGGACTCTCAGGTTAGCGTTTCGATAGAAGGTTTTTCCGCACTGTTGGCAGGTGATGCCCTTTCTAGCTGCTTTTTTTCGAGCTCTTTTCTGTGAGGTTTTCTTTGCACTCTGTTTTTCTCCAGTTGTAGAATCACGACGTTTCTCCTTCCGACTAATCTCTTCCGCTTCATTAAGTTCTGGATTCTCCGTTTTTGGCACCATCAGGTCTATGTCACAAAAGATAAATGCAACATCACCTCAGTATAATGTCACACAAATCAACAGACTTCAAATGTGTAAAACTAATTTTCACCGAGGACCACTTCAGCATTGTGCAACACAGGCTCATTCTGAAAACGTACTTCTATGTACACTTCTGGAGAGCGCCAAATACGTCCCAGGAGCTACGTTTTTTTGCAGTTTTTGTTTTCGCGAATCCACCAGAGGCCGCTGTGTTTGCTCTTTCAGATGTAAAATTTCTCTCGCGAGTGCTATTCACAACTGCTGTTCTCACGTAAATCCACCGGAGGCCACTGTCGACTGACTGAATGACCGACTGACCCACCCTCCTCCTTCCCTAATCCACAGTTTTAAAAAGCAATAAAGAAAAAAAGAAAAGCCCTCGTCTGATTTTTATCATGTTTTCAGATTTTACCACATTCTCACCCTGGTATTTACTTGTTTATTATTTTTTGTCTATTGTTTTTGTCTTGTTTCTGGAATCAATCTTCGCTAGACTCAAACGCCATCGTCGTGGTCAACTCCTCTTTGCGCCTCAAGTCCACTGACATACATGGCAAGCCACTGGACAAACTGGTAAGAGCCGGAAAGCCGTCCATATGGAAGTAAGCAGTCAGGTGGTAAGCGCGAAAAGGAACGGCGTCATACTGACCCATATCGTTCATTTTAAAAACGAAATGCAGCCATACATACTTCTGGCGACATAATTTGCAGTCTCCAGAAATGTCTGTAGGGCTACGTTTTCAGAATGAGCCTGCGTTGGCATTGTGGCTGCCCTCAAAGGGCCAAGGCCACCCCCGTTTAAACTCTGGCCACCCCAATATGATTTTGCTGTTGATATTATTAATTTAAATGTATTTGCGCAAGTTCACAATGTTCAATAAATAAATATATATAAATAAATAAATAGCAGCCACTAAATTATTGTAAGTTGATTGGAGCCACTGATGATTTAATATTTACCTTAAGGTGCATCAATAGAAGAAGCTGTATTAATAATACTGTGGCTCAAAAAGGAATATGGATAAATGATATTATTGGGGTCTGTATCATGAGTGTGTGTATATACAGTAAGTGTGTGTGTGCCTTCTGTTCACTTTGTCCATTTGTTTGTTTTATTAATCTTCATTAATTTTAGACATACTATGCCCCCCTTTCATTTTATTTTTTTAATATTTCCCAAATGATGTTTAACAGAGCAAGGAAATTTTCACAGTGTGTCTGATAATATTTTTTACTTCTGGAGAAAGTCTTATTTGTTTTATTTCAGCTAGAATAAAAGTAGTTTTTAATTTTTTAAACACCATTTTAATGTCAATATTATTAGCCACTTTAAAGGTTCAGGACACCCTGGATAACTTTTTTTTTATAAATTAACAGATTTGTGTGTGTTGAGCATCAGTTAAGACAATGTTAGCACCTGTCAGCTTTAATTGTGGGGAAAACTGGATAATTTTGAGCTTTTGTCAGCTAATTTCAGCTTCCGGTTTTAAAATGATTTTTAGGGCGGATCAAAATCGGCGACGTAGCGCAGTACTGCAAGTGCAATGATGACGCGTCGGTTTCTCATTATTATTTATAGCGGAGTTTTCTTATCCTATGAGAAGAGCCGGCTGCTTAATTATTCATGAGACCTGCCAGAGTCAAGCCCGAGCTGTGTCACGGACCCACGGGCACACAGTATTTAGCCGTTCATGAAGGCTCATATGCGTTTGTTTCCATGATCCACTGGGTTTGTTGCATGTTTTCCCCCGCGATCTTGTCAGGGCCGATCATACAGCAAAGCTGTGTTTGCGGCTAGCATTTTTGTCGGGAGAGCAGCACGAGAATTAGAGAATGGCGGACGCTGTCTTTTATCAGGAGTTCGTTCACATTCAGACACATCACTGTGCTGCTGTGTTTGCCTAAATCCTCCAGATTACCAGCAGGACCAATGGTTAAAATAGACAGGTCAGGAGACCTGCTGCACTGAGTCTGCTGGATACGGGGATTGAGGGAGAATCCTCATTTATAGTGTTTACATGAACACACTTATCTTTATAATGATATAAATTGTGGTTATGTGTAAATGAAATTACGAATAACAAATGTAGCAGGGCATTAAATCACTGTTCATTTCTTTGCATTTTAACTTTGTAAACTATAAACTCATGCGTCTTCTCACGTTTTGTCTCATTTTGTGAGCTAACTACGTTCGCTCACGTTCTCCCCTGCTGGCCACGCCCACTCCTGCCCTATGCTCGCGGAGCTCCACGCCCATTAATCATGCATCTTTTGAAAAAATTCTGAAGTAGACTTTAACCGAAAGTGAGGGGTGTCATGGCCCTTTAAGCTATATTTTTCTATAGTCTACAGAACAAACCATCGTTATACAATAACTTGCCTAATTACCCTAACCTGCCTAGTTACCCTAATTAACCTAAATAAACCTTTAAATGTCACTTTAAGCTGTATAGAAGTGTCTTGAAGAATAGTCTAATATTATTTACTGTCATCATGGCAAAGATAAAAATATATCAGTTATTAGAGATGAGTTATTAAAACTATTATGTTCAGAAATGTGTTGAAGAAAATTTAACAGAAATTGGGAAAAAAAATAAACAGGGGGGCTAATAATTCTGAAGAAATTATTATTCCCGTCGATATATATATATATATATATATATATATATATATATATATATATATATATATATATATCAAATGGAAGAGTTTGGGTAAACCAACCTGTTTGTTCCTGAGCATCTTCCTGTTTGACTGTAAATTCTTCATCGATCTTCACGTCTTCACTCTCCTCTTTAATAAATGACATCTTTATAACAGCCTGTCACAAGGATTCACCAGTTCTTCCGTCCCTTTGGACTTTCTGTAACTTCAAAAATGACAATATTTAACGGTTAATAAACCCTCTGGCTTCATCGCATCCAAAGTAAAACTTTGTATTTACATAATGTGTGAGTATTCACTGTGTATAAATATTGAGATAATGCATACAGTTGAAGTCAGAATTATTAGCCCCCTTCACATTTTTTTCTTCTTTTTTAAAAATATTTTCCAAATGATGTTGAACAGAGCAAGGAGATTTTCACAGTATGTCTGATAATATTTTTTCTTCTGGAGAAAGTCTTATTTGTTTTATTTCGGCTAGACTGAATACAGTTTTTAATTTTTTTAAACAGCATTTTAGGGACATAATTATTAGCCCTTTTAAGCTATATTTGTTTCTCGATAGTCTACAGAACAAACCATCATTATACAATAACTTGCCTAATTACCCTAACCTGCCTAGTTAACCTAATTAACCTAGTTAAGCCTTTAAATGCCACTTTAAGCTGTATAGAAGTGACTTGAAGAATATCTAGTCAAATATTATTTACTGTCATTATGGCAAAGATAAAATAAATCAGTTATTAGGGATGAGTTATTAAAACTATTATGATTAGAAATGTGCTGAAAAAAATCTGCTCTCCGTTAAACAGAAATTGGGGGGAAAATAAACAAGTGGTCTTATAATTCTGACTTCAACTGTATATATATATATATATATATATATATATATATATATATATATATATATATATATATATATATATATATATATATATATATATATTTCATTTATAAATAAATGTTTTCTCAGATACAGACCCATAGCCATTTTGAGCACTATTTTAGCTGGATTAGCTTGTCGGATGATCATCATAACCACCTTTTTGGTGTACCAAAAATATTTCCTAAATAGTTAGAATAAAGAAATATGAAAAAAATATTTATTTTTAAAATACTGTTTATGACATTATATTATCAATAGGAAAAAAAGTAAATTAAAAACTGTGGCCTATTGTAATTTATCAGGCAAATTACAAACGAGCCAGCCCAGCACATTACACTTTCCTCAGTCGGAATTCGGTCATTTTAATAGTAATAAGAATAATAATGATAATAATTTAGAGCTTCAACATTTTTCTAGCCTCTCTTTATGGATGACATCAACAGCCAAAATAGTATTCAAATTGATTTTTAATATGGTCCGCTTTTGATGCTTCACAGTTTTTTTACATTGGTCATGCTTTCATTCAAGAATAAGCTCCAAGATTTAGTATTAAGGTTACTTGTCAAATGTTTTCTCTGCCTAATAACAATACAGTAGCGAAAGATGACTTCTCTTACGACAAAGTTTTTTTTTTTTTGCACAGCTAGATGTTGGACTCATGAAAAATAATTGTTTAAATGGCCAAAACTGATTTAGTCACAACAGGAGATTGACGATCAAATCTAAAGGCTAGTTTAAATCTTGTTCTTTAACATTTATTTTTTTTTACCCACAACAAAACTTCCATCTGAAATGTGTCATCCGGGTTTTCCTTATCCTGTTAACCCCTGAAGCCTAGCCAGTAGGAGCAGGACATCGTAGGTAATCACATAACTGACTAACTAGATGTAAACTGAATGATCTCTGGTCCCTAATTCAAAGATAAATAGATTTCAATTTTAAATTCTTTTAAAAAATGGCTGCTTCACATTTTTATAAATCCAACAAATCGTAAAACTGTGGTTTTATTCTATTTTTAATTTCCGTGCACGCTTCTCCAAATTACCATCGTTTCTCAAACTTTTTAATGAATAATAACTTGCAGATATTATATTTTTGATTTCGAGTTGACTTTGGCAGACCTAACATGATGTGAAAGCCCTGGTTTACCGACCAAACAGAAAGCAGTGGTGGAAGGAGTACTGAAAAATCATACTCAAGTAAAATTACCACTACTTGCCTACAAATGTAGTGCAAGTAGAGTAAAAGTACCTGTTGTAAATATTACTCAGAGTATGAGTACAAAGTAAACCTTTCAAAAGTACTCAAGAGTAGTGTATAGTGAGTATTTCACTGTAGAAAGCTGATGCGTTTACGTGTAATTTGTGCATGTGTGTGTACACGTAACATTCTGTAGTGCATTAAGTTATTAGCCCAGCAGGCACACAACGTCATAAGACGTTAATATTAGGTTAGATTTAGGTTGTGATGTCAGGTGACCAAAATTCAATGTCTAGTCAGGGTCTAAGGACAACATTATTTAGATGTCCAACAAAGATGTCAAATGACGTTGGTATTTGGTTGATTTTAGGTTGTTAGAAAGTGACCAAAATCCAACGTCGAGCCAACATCTTAACCAACATCATATTGACGTCAAATACTGACATTTTTTGTCTTCAGGTATGGCAACCAAAATCCAACATCTGATAGACGTCATCGTGGTAATCTCCACACGACTTCAACATCCTTAGACGTTGTTATTTGGACGGTTTTAGGTTGGACATTGACGTTGAGTTCTGTCGTCAACCCGATTTTCATTTCCAAACAAAATGCAAAAACCCCACGACGTTAGGGTACAACGTCAATCTGACGTCTTGTGTCTGCTGGGTGTTTAAGGCCATTTCGGTCATCATAAAGTAAACATCCGTCATCTCCTCATCAGTGACATGCGTCTGGGTCAATGCGTGTAAAGATTTTGGACATTACTTGAACACTTTTAATGCTTCCAAACAGTTTGCTGCAATTATAAATTGCCCGCGTCTTGAGGTAGTTCATTATGATGCAATTTTCCTTTTTAGGTGTGATTTGATTGGACGGGAATCACAGGACTGATTTGTCTAATCCCCATAGACAAGAGAAAATAAAGTAGTGACTGCAGCCTGAAGGAAAGTAGTGGAGTAAAAGTACCGATACAGCACTAAAAATGTACTTAAGTGAGAGTAAAAGAACACATTTATAAAACTACTCAGTAAACTACAATTACTGAGAAAAACTACTCAATTACAGTCATTTGAGTATTTGTAATTAGTTACTTTACACCACTGACAGAAAGAAAAGCATGTCCTGGTAAACTCCACAGTTCTGTATTTTGAGTAAAATTGAGTGGTGAAAACTGAACATCCATAAAGCATTTAAATATTAATTAATTAATCATTTTTAAAAGTCTATGAATGAACTTCATAAGTGTTTTGTTTTTTGTTCGAAAATGTTTGGTGATGATGAGAGACCATGATCCGAGTCGACGCGAACAGGTGATTCTATTGAATCAATCTTAAACAAATCATTACTTTCGTTTAACAAAACCCGTGTAAATGGTTCACAGATTGGAATATATGCGGTGTGCTTTGCTAAAACATAGTTAGCGAGCTGTGTTTGGTCAATCACATTAAACTGTAACGACTTTACTTGCTTTGTCCAACAGTTTTGACTCAGTGATTCTTTTAAACCGATCACTTCACTCTCACTCTTGACTCAGCGATTCTTTTGCTTTTCGCTTCTCCACAGACGATTTTCAGTGAAGTAATCACCTAAAGTTTGGTCCATTTATTAAACTAAACATCCATAAAGCATTTATATATTAATTAATTAATCATTTTTAAATGTCTACGAATGAACTTCATGTTTTAAAAACCTGAGGCTGTGTTGAAGTCATTATGTTGAGGAATCGTATGTACCCAGTAAAAAATAAAGCTTTCACATATTGACAAGTATTATTAAATCCTGTGAATTTGGTTTTTATAGTTGTTTTATTTAATTCATTAGCCTAAAAAAGATCAAATCAAGATGTATATTGCTGATTATCAAGGTTTATCGATTGCGTATAGTCCTGAATGTGCTGGATAATACGGATGTACAACAGGTCAATGATACCAGAGTAAAGATGTTTGATTTAAGATGTATTGAAGGCTAGTTTTGGGGTTTTGGAAAGTTCTGGGTATTAGGAATAGACTGTTATTATGTTCGAACGACGTAAATCGATAGCAAAATGTTCCCCAAACCTTACAATAATGTATTTCCATAAAGAAAAAATAACCAAAAAAATTAAACTTAAAAACATTTTGGGGACCAAAATCTAGCCAAGAATTGTTATTGGAGTTTGCCTTAATAAACAGATCCAAACTAATGAAAGTTAGACTATAGCTTTGTGTGCTTTACAGGTGAACTTTAAGTGTTTTGTTTATTTGTTCGAAAATGTTGGCGCGGTGATGATGAGAAACCATGATCCGAGTCGACGCGAACAGGTGATTCTATTGAATCAATCTTAAACAAATCATTACTTTCGTTTAACAAAACCCGTGTAAATGGTTCACAGATTGTAATATATATGCGGTGTGCTTTGCTAAAACATAGTTAGCGAGCTGTGTTTGGTCAATCACATTAAACTGAAACGACTTTACTTGCTTTGTCCAACAGTTTGACTCAGTGAATCTTTTAAGCCGATCACTCTCACTCAGCGATTCTTTTGCTTTTCGCTTCTCCACAGACGATTATCAAGTAATCACCTAAAGTTTGGTCCATTTATTAAACTAAACATCCATGAAGCATTTATATATTAATTAATTAATCATTTTAAATGTCTATGAATGAACTTCATGTTTTAAAAACCTGAAGCTGTGTTTAAGTCATTGTGTTGAGGAATCGTATGTACTCAGTAAAAAAATAAAGCTTTCACATATTGACAAGTATTATTAAATCCTGTGAATTTGTTTTTTCATAGTTGTTTTATTTAATTCATTAGCCTAAAAAAGATCAAATCAAGATGTATATTGCTGATTATCAAGATTGCGTATAGTCCTGAATGTGCTGCTGGATTATACCGATGTACAACAGGTAAATGATACCAGAGTAAAGATGTTTGAAGGCTAGTTTTGGGGAAATAGACTGTTATTATGTTAGAGTGGTATTAAAATCGTGAGGAGAATGTTCCCCAAACTTTACAATAACGTTCTTTCCGTTAGGAAAACAGCAAAACTAAACTTAAAAACATTCTGGGAATCAAAACATAACCACATTAGGGTTTGCATTAGTAAACAATATCGAATGAACGGTAATAGCTTTGTGTGCTTTATTCGACATGTCGGCGCGGTGATGATGAGAGACCATGATCCGAGTCGACGCGAACAGGTGATTCTATTGAATCAATCTTAAACAAATCATTACTTTCGTTTAACAAAACCCGTGTAAATGGTTCACAGATTGGAATATATGCGGTGTGCTTTGCTAAAACATAGTTAGCGAGCTGTGTTTGGTCAATCACATTAAACTGTAACGACTTTACTTGCTTTGTGCAACAGTTTTGACTCAGTGAATCTTTTAAACCGATCACTTCACTCTCACTCTTGACTCAGCGATTCTTTTGCTTTTCGCTTCTCCACAGACGATTATCAGTGAATTAATCACCTAAAGTTTGGTCCATTTATTAAACACATTTATTGTATCACTTGTATAAATGTACTAGTTGTTTTGTCCACTTTATGCTTTGTTTTATTTAGATTAACTTCAAGCTTATGAAGCTTGAAACAGCGCCAATCGTATTCTGTTACAGAACTTCAGTATCAATGTCTCTTGAGTATTAGATTAAGTTACTGAGTAATCTAACGAGTGACTTGTCATTTTTAAAGCATGCATTTGGTTTAAATTGACTGTGGTTTTCAGAAAAAACTCGTTCATCTCTTTCAAAATGACTTTCATTGTTTTCCAGTTCCCAATTTCACAGTGTTCAGAGCTGATACTTACATTTCTCTCATGCACTATATTCACAAAATGCGACGATAAAGAATGCCAGTATTAAAACAGATATAAATTCGTATGTAAGGTTATAGTAAAAACTGAAGATATTTTAAACACTCAATGCTTAAAAACACAAACCTGTTCAGCCAACTCACAACAGACCCGCGGCGCGGATTGATGACGTCATCATGTAAACAAACCAAAATCAAAGTCACATTCAAATCACTGAAAGCTCATGCATATATATTTTGAATTATTTTTAAAAAATCATATAAATGTTTGGTCATGGTTATAAAACTGATTTCTAATCTCAAATTGTCTTTTCTGGCAAAATAAAGGTTATAATAATAATAATAATAATAACAATAATAAGAGTAATAAACAAATTATTATTATTATAATCATATATAAATTAATAATAAAACCGAAATGTTTTTTTTCTATGATTGCTTAGGTCCAGGCAGAAATCAAGCAGTCATCTTTTTCATGTTGGCTAATATTATGCACTTGACACAAACAAAACACAAAACGGCTTCATTTCCATCAACTTCTTTATGGCTAATTTCCTTGCCCAGACAAACTGAAGTCAAATATCTTAAATGAACGATCAGTTGTCGATGCGTCAGGTCTGTGCTTATTTTTGGTTCTTTTCATAATGAACACACACGTGACACGCGCGCGCACACACACACGCACACAAAGATCAAAGTAATATATATGCAGTACTGACTGACAAGCTAAAACTATACCGATTGTGTCTGTCAAACAGTATTAGTTTATATTGTTAATATTATATTTTAACATTATGTTAGTCCTGTAGTTTATTAATTAGCATTTTATGTTGATATAATTACCTATTAGTTATATTACTGTAAGATGACTTTTTTTTTAATTATTTATCGTCATCATGTTGTATTTCCTCGTTTGATTCGCGTAACCGGCGCGTTTTTGACAATTACCTGAAGTCAAACCGGTTAAACCGGACCTGTGATGTTCTGAGGCGAAATCACCGGCTGTTTTTGGCGCTTTTAATGTAAACCCGAATCGTTTTAACGCTGTAATAATCCTCCCTTGGGCTATTTTCTCCTGATGGAGCATGATGAAGAATCAGTGCTTGGATCTGTCAACAGATAGCCAGACAGGTGAGTGTTAGTTTAAGAGTTTGTCATTTGATTTGCAGTTTCCTCCTCGGCGTAATTAGGATAATGTTTTTGCTAATTATAATTATAGTGTATTATTTATACTAGAAATTGGCGTCCATGTTTCCACAGATACGTACACGGACAGGTTTATTGTGTTACAGTCATACTTTTGTTCGATTTGTATTTTGAAAAATGTTCGGAAAATCAAATAAGTTAGTTTAGCTTATATTTTTTAACAGGTTACGTAATGAAAACGAGTTACCCTAACTCATGAATTGATTATATTAAGCAAAACTCAATACGAATGAGTTATGAATGAATGAATTGTATTTTTGTTTTAACTCTAATACTTGAAGCAACACCAAACCATTTGAGTAGCTATTGTTTGGAACTCTTTGTGATTTCATAACTGAACTTCACGTTCTAATGCACATATTTTAATGGTACATGACAAAAATTATTCTATGTGATTTTTTTGGGTTCTTTTGGGAACTTTTTATTGTTTGTTGTTTTTGGTTTGACCCCCCCCCAACCCAACCCCAAAATATTTTTGTTGTTGCAACGTCATGCAACAGTGGTACAAAATCACAGAGGAAATTATTCACATATTATATATCAAATATCATGAGTCAGAGGTCAAAGAGCAATAATAATTTGACAAATCTTATTCAAACTGTGACAGAATCATTAAGGAAATAGGGAAGAACACATGAAACATATTCAGTGCTCAGCATAACTGAGTACACCCCATTTTGAAAATGGCTCGAACCAGCGACCTTCCTGCTGTGAGGTAACAGCGCTACCCACAACACAAATGCATTCATTCATTTACCTTTCAGCTTAGTCCCTTTATTAATCCAGGATGATTAACAGCGGAATGAACCACCAACTTATCCAGCACATTTTTTTATTTTTACGCAGCGGATGCCCTTCCAGCCACAACCCATCTCTGGGAAACATCCACACACACTCATACACTACAGACTTAATAATGTAATTTAGCCTACCCAATTCGTCTGTACCGCATGTCTTTGGACTGTGGGGGAAACCGGAGCACCCGGAGGAAACCCACGCGAACGCAGGGAGAACATGCAAACTCCACACAGAAACGCCAACTGACCCAGCCGAGGCTCGAAACAGCAACCCAGTGACCTTCTTGCTGTAAGGCACTACCTACTGCGCCGTCAACACAAATGATCAACACCAATAATATATGTGTATATGACTCTTTATAGTCATAGTTGTATAGTTTACTGTACATAGTTGTATGGTTTGCTGCAATCGGTTTCCTCAAACAGTTTGAGTAACTTTACTCATCGGGTTTTACTGTGTTGCTAGATTTACCTTTACTTTTTTTAGCAGCTACTAGCAGTTATTATTATTAGCCTATATTTGCTAGATTTTTTTATTTAAGTAGTTTTGGACGTTTTGTCCAATTGATAATAATCACTATTGCACATTAACGCTAACACAACCTTATATATATCCTCGTATTTAAAACAGGCATTTTATTAGAGTTTTAATTCACCAAGGGTTCCGATTAGTAGCCTATCTTTCGGTAAATTACGTCAGTAAAACAACTGAATTGAAATATTCCTAATTGCGATGTCTAATTAGTATTCTGATCACACTTGATGTTTTCTTTCAGTTGAATCCAGAAGCAAAATGTAATCTGAACTCAGCTGTGTGTCCATGAAGAGCGACAGGTCAGTGAATCTTGCTCATTAAAACAATACTATAGTAATGTAAAGTAACCACCTTTATTTGTATTGCGCTTTTACATTGTAGATTGTGTCTACGCAGCTTCACATAGAAGATTATAGTGAATTGAAACAGTGTAAATCCGTTTAATATGTTTTAATATTCACTGCTGCGAGTCCAAACACTGAAGAGTAAGTGATTTTGAACAATACTATAGTAAAGTACTTGAATTAATCTGTTGTGGTAATTCTGTAACTGCTATGCTAGTACAACTACGGCAGTGTAAACAAACTCATCATACTGTACTAAGTGTACATGAAAATGAAGATGAATTCCTGGCTAATTCTGGCACATTTAAAAGACCGTTTATTAGTGTGCATTGACCCTGTAAACAAATGAACTAAACTAAAATGTAATACACCACAGCGTACTGTAGTAAAAAATAAAGTACGCTACATTACAGTATATCTGTTCACTGCAGTTAAATCTACATTATTCTGTTGGATTCATTCACAAAGTGTTGTAAACACTGTGGTATATATAGTATATTGCACTTTACTATGGCATGGTTCCAAAACTATAGTAACATTTTTCATGTGGCTTACTACATAATCTGTGTTCACATGATCATTATAGAGTGTCTGCCTGGAATCCGTTTCAGTTTTTTTTTTTAAATATTTCAAGAGTTCACACTTAGATATTGCTTGACAACTGTAAGCAGGTTTGGCATGCTGTCCCGGGAGAGAACCCTGAGCTTGGAGATAGTTGAGCCCAGGGCTCCCGCCAGGTCCATAGAGCATGTGAGGGGAGTACAAGGTCAGGTGGTTCTCGAGAGCTCCCCTTTTTAAAGGAGGAAAGGAGGAGAAAGGGGGTGGATGGGGGGGTTTCTTCGGAAAACTAAGATAAGGGAGTAATATCTAGCTAGGCTACTTATAGTGAGTTAGGATAGATCTGATTGGCTAACTAATGAGTGTAGATAGGTGGCCAGCTGCAGTCAATTATATCACGTGCTCCTCTCGAAATTAGTTCAAAAACTTCACTTATTAAATAAAATATCTTAATTAACAGCTCTAAATGCTGGATTAGCATGTGCTGTGAAATTCCCATCTGCATAATGCATATTAATAGGATAAATTGATTTCAAAAGTCTTGAATGAGAGATCCTTATTAATGGAGTAATTCTGTCATTGGTTCAGTTTAAAAGTCTTGAATATAAGGTTGTGTTGATTGCATTGACTTGTGTTCATCTTTAATGCACAGATCAGAATCAGCTGTGTGTCCCTGAATAGTGACTGGTCAATGAATCCTCTACATAACATTAGTGGGCACTCTGATGCTGGGACTAGGTAATAACCTAATACCAAAACAATTTAGTTCATATACAGTTGAAGTCAGAGTTATTAGCCCCTCTTAGATTTTTTCTCTTTTTTCAATATTTCCCAAATGATGTTTAACAGAGCAAGGAAATGTTCACAGTGTGTCTGATAATATTTTTTCTTCTGGAGAAAGTCTTATTTGTTTTATTTCAGCTAGAATAAAAGCAGTTTTTAATTTTTTAAACACCATTTTAAGGTCAATATTATTATTAATATATTGGGCTATATTTGTTTTCGATAGTCTACAGGACGAACCATCGCTATACAATAACTTGCCTAATTACCCTAACCAGCCTATTTAACCTAGTTAAGCCTTTAAATGTCACTTTAAGCTGTATAGAAGTGTCTTGAAGAATATCTAGTCAAATATTGTTTACTGTCATCATGGCAAAGATAAAATAAATCAGTTATTAGAAAAGAAAATAAACAGGGGGGCTAATACTTCTGACTTTAACTGTATAAAGTTCTCCAAAAGCTATATCATTCATTCAGTAAGGTTGTGTTGATTACGTTTAAGTGTGTTCATCTTAAATGCACAGACCGGACCCACCAGGACCCAGCTGTGTCTCCATTAGGAGCGACTGGTCCATGAATCCTCCACATAACTTAAGTGGGGACTCTGATGCTAGGTCTAGGTAATCACAGCCTATAAGCCATTCAAATGATGAATTGATTTAATATGCTGCTGTTATACTGTAAACAAATATATTAATTACATTATCTTGTGTGTTCATCTTTAATTCGCAGACTGGATCCACCAGAACCCAGCTGTGTGTCCACGAAGAGTGACTGGCCAGCAAATTCTTCACTGAAGTTTAGTGAACGCACTGAACTTAGGTTTAGGTAAACACTGTAATAAGCTGTTTTTGGTTAATACACATGTATATGCACAATCCTGACACTTGTGCTTGTTTTGATTCTGAAGTGTTGGAAACTGTTGGTTCAATCTTGATTCTAAAGGGCTGGTGTTCGTGCAGAGTTTATCTCCAACATGCTTCAATACGTCTGCCTGGAAGTATCATGTATACCTAGTAAGACATTATTTAGCCTGTTCAGGTGTGTTTGATTAGGGTTGGAGCTAAACTCTGCAGAACCCTCAAGGAATAAGTTTGGTGGATCGGATGTCATGTATTCATTTCATTTGTCTGTGTCATGCTATTAATTGTTGGCACTTCTGTCTAGTTAAGTTTCAGTTTGATGCAGAATTCGCTCGTATTTGCACATTGTGCACTCATGTCTCAATACAAGTTCAAGTTTGTGCAACACAGGCTCATTCTGAAAACGTAGACACGTGGACGTTTCTGGAGACCCCGAATTGTGTAGCCGGAGGTACATATGGCTGCATTTCATTTTTTTAAGCGAATGATACGGGGCGCTACGACGCCATTCATTTTGGCGCTTACCGGCTGACTGCTTACCTCCGTGTGGACGGCTTTCCCACCACAACTAGTTTGTCTAGTTAGTTCGTTGTGTACATCAGAGGACTGATGCAGAGAGAAGTTGACCTTGACAATGACTGGGTTTCGAGTCTGAGGAAGAGCGGTTCTAGAAATCAGACAAAAACAGAATCCAAAAAATAAACCGAATGAGTGAACGACAGGGTGAGAATGTGGTAATATCCGAAAACGTGGTTAAAAATCAGACAAGGGCTTTTCTTTTTCTAGATAGCATTTGTAAACCGTCTGTTGGTTTTAGGGAAGTAATCGAGTGGGGCCTGGGTGGGTCAGTCAGTAAAACTGGCAACCCGAACTCATTCTGGAAACGTAGCCCCGCGGACGTTTCTGGAGACCGCGATTTCCGTGGCCGGAGGTACGTACGGACGCGTTTAGTTTTTTTTGAGCGAACGCTGCGGGACGGTGTGGCGCCGCTCCGCTCCTCCTCTTCACGCTCCCCGGCCGACGGCTCGCCTCCGAGTGGAGGGCTTTCCTGATGCAACCTGTTTGTCCGCTTAGCTCACAGCGTTGCGTCAGCGGAGCAGAGGCCCCGGAGGAGGAGCCGGCCGCGGTGGACGACGACCGAGATCGAGTCCGGGGAACAGCGGTTCCGGAAATCAGGTAAGATGAAAAACAGAATTCGAAAAATAAGGGCGAAAACGCGGCAGGATCCGAAGAAAACGCGGTCGAAATCGAAGACGAGGGCTTTTGCTTTTTTTTTTTCTTTTCTTGACGGCTTTTGCAAACCGTCGCTTGGGTTTAGGGAAGGAGGAGGAGGAAGTGGAGGGTCGGCCGGGCGGCTTTTCGTGTGAGAACAGCGCGGGCGCGAACGGCGCACGCTCCCGAGAGGCGCCCGAGACGCAAAAAATCGCGCACAGCGGCCTCTTGCGGATCCGCAAAAAACAAAAAACGCTCGAATACGTACCTCCCGGGACGTATCTCCCGGGACGTATCTCTCGGTCCGCAGAAACGTCCGCGGGGCTATGTTTCCACAATGAGCCCGGGTTGAAAACTGGTTAGGTTTAGGGAAGGAGGAGGGTGGGTCGGTCGACAGCGGCCTCTGGTGGGTTTACGCCAGAACAGCTTGGGCACGAACGGCACTCGTGAGAGACATATGAGATGGGAAAATGTGCACACAGCGGCCTCTCGCGGATTCTCAAAAATATGTACCTCCCCGGACGTATTTCATGGCCTCCAGAAACGTCCACAGGACTACGCTTTCAGAATGAGCCTGGGTTGAGTTTGTGTAGTACATGGCTTTTGTTGACATGGGGCTGCATACTTTCATGTTTGGTTTGTATGCAGTTAGAGCCCTGGCTTTGTTTTATTGTTCTGTTTGATGCAAGCACAAGGTTTTGTTTTTATGCCATGTGCTATTGTCTAGCCCAGGGTTCCCCAAACTTGGTCTCTGAGGGCCGTTGTCCTGCAGAGTTTAGCTCCAACACACCTGCCAGGATGTTTTTAGTATACCTAGTAAGAGCTTGATCAGGTGGTTCAGCTGTGCCTAATTGGGGTTTAAGGTAAACTCTGCAGGACGCCGGCCCTCTGGGACTGAGTTTGGGCACCCCTGGTCTATCGCCTCCAATTGTCAACCGTCATAGTGTTCTTGTGTTTGCTGTCATGTGCCAGTTCATCAATTTTTCCTTCTGTTCTTGTTCCTACCTGTTCTGCCTTGTCAGCCCAGTCGAGACTTTATTCATCATTTAACGTTTTCCCTAAAACGTGTTGTTTTTGTTGCATATTTGTTTTTGTTTTATTAATGAATAAAAACAATTTGAGTCCTCGCAACTTCCTTTAGCCCAATCCTTAAAGCAGGGGTCACCAAACTTGTTCCTGGAAGGCCGTTGTCCCTCAGATTTTAGCTCCAACCCTAATCAAACACACCTGACCAAGCTAATCAAGGTCTTACTAGGTATACTTGAAACATTCAGGTAGGTGTGTTGAGGCAAGTTGGAACTAAACCCTGCGGACACCGGCCATCCAGGACCTAGATTAATGACCCCTGCCTTAAAGTATTAGGATCCTGGGATCTATGCTCAATGTCATGTTACCTTTTGTGTTTGTTGAACACATAGTGATCCTTTTAAACAGGGGTGGGCAAACCCAGTCCTGGAGGGCCGGTGTCCTGCACAGTTTAGCTCCAACACTAATCAAACACACCTGAACATGCTAATTAGTGTCTTCAAGATCACTAGAAATCTATAAGCAGGTGTGTTTGATTAGAGTTGGAGCTAAACTGTGCAGGACACCGGCCCTCCAGGACCGAGTTTGCCCACCCCTGCTTTTAAACATTCTGGTTGTCATCAGATTTTCTACATGACGTGTAAGTGTGTATGAAATTTGAATATACATCATATTCTATTATTTTGTCATCTAAATTTTACAGCCATGGCCCTCAACATGCTGAAGCCACGAAGACATATAGATCCAACTTGAGGAGGAAGTCTCAGTGTCTGTATGAGGGAACGGCGAAGCAAGGAAGCCCAACACTCCTGAATGAGATCTACACCGAGCTCTACATCACAGAGGGGGAAAGTGGAGAGATCAACAGTGAGCATGAGGTGAGACAGATTGAGACACAATCCAGGAGATCAACAATACAGGACACGCAGATCAAATGCAATGATGTCTTTAGACCTTTACCTTGTCAAGACAAAGTCATCAGAACTGTGCTGACAAAGGGAGTCGCCGGCATCGGAAAAACAGTCTCGGTGCAGAAGTTCATCCTGGACTGGGCTGAAGGGAAGGAGAATCAGGACGTCCAGCTAATATTTCCTCTACCTTTCAGAGAGCTCAATTTGATGAAAGACAAGAAACTATGCTTGTTAAGTCTGCTTCAGACCTTTTTTCCGGAATCTAAAGAAATGGAGTTATCCAGTGAAGAAAATAAAGTGCTGTTCATCTTTGACGGTCTGGATGAGTGCCGCCTGTCTCTGAACTTTCAGGAAAATGCGAAGTTGTGTGATGTAAGTGAATTCACCTCAGTGGACATGCTGTTGACAAACCTGATTGTGGGCAATCTGCTTCCTTCCGCTCTCATCTGGATCACCTCCAGACCAGCAGCAGCAGATCTCATTCCTTCCGAGTTTGTCCATCGACTGACCGAGGTGCGAGGCTTCAATGACCATCAGAAGGAGGAATATCTCAGGAAGAGGATCAGCGATCAGAGTTTAGCCAACAAAATAATCTCACATCTCAAATCATCAAGAAGCCTCTACATCATGTGCCACATTCCGGTGTTCTGCTGGATCTCCGCCACGGTTCTGGAGAAGATGATGAGGAAATCGTGGAAAAGAAAAATCCCCAAAACTCTCACTCAAATGTACACACACTTTCTGATCATTCAGACCAGCATTAAGAATGAGAAGGATTACATGAAGCATGTGAAGGATGAAGACTTGATCCTCAAACTGGGGAAACTGGCTTTCCAGCAGCTTATAAAAGGCAACCTAATCTTCTATGAGGAAGACCTGAGCGAGTGCGGCATTGACGTGACAGAAGCATCTGTTTACTCAGGATTGTGCACTCAGATCTTCAGAGAGGAGCTGGGATTTTACCAGGGGAAGGTCTTCAGCTTTGTTCATCTGAGCATTCAGGAGCATTTAGCCGCTCTTTATGTTCTGCTTTCATTATTGCTGCACAAGAAAGACGTTCTCCGGGAAAACCTAAGATCAACACATGCACATGCTTGTCAAACAATCTCTGACCTCCACCAAAGAGCTGTAGATGAGGCTTTACAGAGTAAAAATGGACATCTGGATCTTTTCCTTCGATTCCTTCTGGGTCTCTCGCGGGAGTCAAATCAGATGCTCCTCAAAGGTTTTCTGACACATGTTGGAAACATATCATACAGCAAAGGGAAAACGATTGAGTACATCAAATCAAAAATAAATGAGAATCCTTCACCAGAGAGATCCATCAATCTCTTCCACTGTTTAAATGAACTGGGTGATCAATCTTTTGTGAATGATATCCAGGATTATGTTAGAAGTGGACGTTTTCCAAGCACCAGACTGTCCTCGTCACAGTGGTCAGCTGTTGTCTTTGTTTTGTTGACGTCGGAGCAGTTGGACAAATTTGATTTGAGTAAATACATAAGCAGCAAGAGCAAACCAAACCTCATGGCGTCTGATGAAGTACTTCGGAATCTCTTGCCAGTACTTGAGGCCTCCAGATCAGCTCAGTAAGTAGACCTGGGGACAGTCATCAGATGTGTGTATTGCAGTGCAGTGCTTGACTCTTCTTTGTTGGCAAGTATCGTTTCTAGGCATTGGCAAACTAGGCAGTTGTCTCCAACCCATTCCCTGAGAGTAACATTATTTTTTCTGGTAATAGTGGCTGCTGCTCAATGGCGTACTGTAAATTGTTGGGTGGGACTTTTTTCCAAGACCATGGGTTCCCAATCTTGGTCCTGGAGGGCCGGTGTTCTACAGAGTTTAATTCCAACCCCAATAAGACACACCTGACCCAGGAAATCAAGCTCTTAAGCTGCGGTCACACTAGAGTTTGTGCGTGAGAAATTCTGTCGTACGGTTCTGCGAAAAGGGGCGGGATTAAACAAAATGATTAGACATTTAAAAAGCGAGCGATTGAACCATATTTTACAAATCTGTCCCGAGAGGTCATGTTTTGATCCTCGATTGGTCTCACACAATCACATGATGCAATTTCGCAGGTCAGAGTTCACAAAGCTTGAACCTTCCATCGTAGCGAACTGCGAATGTTGCTGCATAAGCATGCGTTTACAGTCTCACTTATTCGTGTGTGCATGAATGGAAGTCAATGGGGAGAAAAGTCCAGTGTGACCGCGGCTTTACTTGGTATAGAACATTCCTGGCAGGTGTGTTGAAGGAAGCTGGAGCTAAACCAGGCCCTCCAGGACAGAGTTTGGGCGCCCCTGCTTAAGAGCATTTGTTTAAGTGGCCAGAAAGAATTCAGCTGAATATTTGTTTGTAAATCTGTCCAGTTCAGTCCAGACTGGGTTTAGAGAAAACCATGACCTTATCTAATGTTTATTTATGCCAACATTTTTGGGAAGGGGAGGCTCAAAATGGTTCTAAACGTTAATCACATTTAGCTCAGTTTACATTTATGTTGGTGTAACACCCTTAGTTCCTACATTACACAACCTGCTTCAAGCTGGCATCAAACCGGCGACCTTCCGCTTGATAGTCGGTTGCTCTGCCAAGGAGGCTTAAGACCATGGCCTCTAGCATCTGTTGCTAAAGCACCTTTAAAGGTTGTACCAGCAGAGCACCTACTAGCTGGCCTTTGTTACACTTACCCCCCTAAACCTCACTCCTATCCAGGTCATGGCACCAATGTAACTCCGCCGGTCCTACACCACCCAACCTGCTCCAAGCTGGTATCGAACTAGAAACCTTCCGCATGGGATTCGGTTGCTCTACCAAGGAGGCTAAAGACCATGGCCAATAGCATCTGTCGCTAGAGCACCTTTAGAGGTCAGAGGAGTGAGGATTACCTGCACAGCACCTACTAGCTGGCCTCCATTACATTGGCACACTGTCAGCGGTAGGATTAGTTTGGCCTGACACTTTTCCGTAGACATTTGGATGTCTTTTCTTTTCACAATAACATTAAACTTAATGGTATGATGCTAATTTAAAGGCTTTTTAAAAAATGAATTCTTCCACATAGATCAGGGGTGGGCAAACTCGGTCCTGGAGGGCCGGTGTCCTGCACAGTTTAGCTCCAACCCTAATCAAACACACCTGCTTATAGATTTCTTGTGATCTTAAAGACACTGATTAGCATGTTCAGGTGTGTTTGACTAGTGTTGGAACAAAACTCTGCAGGGACACCGGCCCTCGAGGATCAAGTTTGCCCACCCCTGACATAGATTGTCTCTAAACCCCAGTCTTCAAATGTTTACTTCAGAACTAATAGATTAAGGAGGGTTCTGCATTGTTTTCAGGTTGAGAAAATGTGGCATCACAAATGAAGGTTGTGCTGCTTTGGGTTCAGCGCTGAGATCAGACTCTTCGCACCTCAGAGAACTGGATCTGTCATTGAATAAGCTAGAGGCTAAAGGTCTGAAGCTGCTCTCTGATGGACTGAAGGATCCCCACTGCAAACTGGAGAAACTGGAGTAAGATAATACATTATTCATGAGTGAAACTACTTTATCTATTATATTAAGGGTCTGCCATCATAATGTTATTCAGAAAACTAAACTGTGTAATGTCTTGTGGTTTTCACTGATCCCGAAACGATGTGTCATTGATCTGCAGGTTGAGTGATTGTGGAGTCACAGTTGAAGGTTGTGCTGCTCTGTCTGCAGCTCTGAGATCGGACTCCTCACCCCTCAGAGAACTGGATCTGTCGTGGAATCAGCTGGGAGATACAGGTCTGATGCGGCTCTCGGATGGACTGAAGGATCCCCACTGTAAACTGGAGAAACTGAAGTGAGATTGCAGTTGACCGAACGCCAACTAAAACAATTAAGTACAGCATGTAGTATTAGCAATGCACAGAATGCGTGCTAGCACATGGCAAGGTATGGTTCCCTGCTGAAAAAACTACTTAAACCAGCCTAGGCTGATGGGCTGGTTTTAGCTGGTCGACCAGGCTGGTTTTAGAAGTGTTTTAGCCATTTCCAGGCTGGTTTCCAGCCATTTCCAGCCTGGTCTTAGCTGTTCAGGCTGGAAAATGACCAGCTAAAACCAGCTTGACCAGCCTAGCCAGGGTGGGAGCCCAGACAAAACCAGCTATGTCCAGCTTAAACCAGGCTGGTCAAGCTGGTTTTATAGCTGGTCGACCAGGCTGGTTTTAGAAGTGTTTTAGCCATTTCCAGGCTGGTCAACCAGCTAATACCAGCCAACCAGCCTAAACTGGTTGAAGCTGGATTTTTCAGCAGGGTTCAGTTGAGTATGGCTCATTTTTGGAGTTTTTTTTACTAGCACCTGGTACTTTTTAGTAGATGGTAATTTTAGGGGAAGAGGAGTAACATTAATTCTTGTGTGAAACACATAAACAAACACACAATATCAACAAGTGAGGGACAAAAATACCAAGACCAGCTAAATGGAATAAAGTGAGTTTATTTACAAAGATA